CTCACAGCACGCCAGTTGGTTGGCTAGATGCGTGAGCCTCACAAAGCTGCGTCATACAGTTGGCCCAGGCCTTGACAGTTGCGGCTGGGCACATACACACAAAGCAGGGCCGATACATTGGGAAACAGGCTATCGGCCTTTGCAAAAGCAATACCGCCGGCACATCTGCCTGGGAGCCCTGCACAGAGGCAGTAAACAGCTCAAGTCCGGAGACTCGGGCCGTGCCCAACTGAAAAGGGCCCAGGCCCTCAACTGTAGTCTCGGGCCTGGGCGCAGGGTCTGAGACCCAACCAGAAGATATTGGAAGCTTCCAGCCAGGCCACACGCAACATCCAGGAGGCTGCCACTTCCACAAAAGGAGTAGGGCAGTCCAGGCCAGGAATTCTGGCCAGTGCTGGCAATGCGAAAGAGCTGTTGTGCTCTCGCTTGATGCTGCGCTGCTGCCGAAGTCGCTGACGGGGCGCGAGGTGGTGAAGGAGGGGCCCTGCAGGGCAGCAAGGCACAGGCAGCCATAGCCGAGCTGCTGGGCGCCAGGGGGTACAGCGGGCGATCTAGTGGTCTTCAGGGAAGAAGGCGAGTGTGGGGTCATCAAGGTCTGATTGAGGGTGACGAGATACGTACCTGGTACATGAAGAGAGGTCACCGATGGTGTTGACAGTCATGTACATTGGTCTTCGAGAGTCGAAGTGATCCTGTTGCGTGAACCAGTTGTAGGTAGGATAGTCGGGTAAAGTAGGCTGGGCGCCGAGCGCCAGACAAAGAGGAGCGACTTTGGATATTGTGTTGGTGTGGCCTACGGGCTTGAACATTGGCTCATTACTTTGGACGGATACTCGGTGCATTTTGTACCCTGTTCTTGGATACGACTACCTTGACATCTGTGTGATTTCGCAACTTGGTTTTGTATATCGTTCACACTCATATTCCTTGCACTTCCGAACCAGGTTTCTGTTGCCCCCACCCACGCATCAATCATCGATATTAAACTTCTGAAATGACTTGAAGTGGCTGAAACATTTGAAAGCAGTGTCAACTGGTTCAACCACTTCAGGCCATTTCAGGAGTTTAAAGTGGTTGAAGCTTCTGAAACCGCTATCAGGTCCTTTCATCCAAGCCTACAACGCCGGTATGAAACTGCGACGATGACGTCCAAGGCTTTTGAAACCGTCTTCAAAGCCCTCCATCCAAGCCTGCAACACCTGTCTGAAACCGCGATGATGACATGGTGTCTGAAGCTTCTGAAACCGTTTTCAGGCCCATCCATCTAAAGCCTACAACACCCGTGCGAAACTGCTTGAAACATGTTTTAGGTCCCTCCAGCCAAGCGTCTAAGATTGGTCGGAAACTCTCTTACTGACCTGAAACCATTGGGAATATGAGGGGAAAATGTATGCACATATTAACCCTCTCTCACGTTCACATGAGATTTCACACACGAAGCCACGAGACGGAATTAGAATCACCCCACCAAAGAACTGTGCATAATTATTGTATCATACAAAGAGATTGTTTGAGAATCCTCAATGGCTTCAGCAGCTTCCAACAGTCGCAACAGAGATCAGGTATGTCACCGCCTTCCTCTCTCTATGACGCGACTCTCTCTCTCGATCTCGCCAATTTTGTAGCTCAACCTCACCGTTCTGTCTTTCTCTCTCTACTTCACCGCGATGACCCTGAATACACCTGTGCGTCATCAACCCCAAGCTTAGCGGCTACAACTGCCATCTCCTCTATAGTAACCCTTAGGCGCCATTCTCCCTCTTCAGAAGCATGCCGCCCAAGTTGCTTATCGCCCAAACATCCAACAGTACTTCTGCAACTTGCAAATGAATAACTAGTTGGTGATACCACCATATAGCATGCTTGACTTGCTTGCGGCCTGTTTCGGACCGGTACCGGTCGCCTTGGTCTGTCAGCCACATGTTCTCAATGTGTTTGGAAGGACTCTGGTTGTATATGGGACACTGCTGCAAAAGTGGACTTTGGGACTTTGTCGGTGTATGCAGACCTCTACTGACCCACTATGCTTCGGTACACTGCTGGACTAGGATGCTTCGACCTACTGTCCCCTAAGGAACCTACCGACCTCGGACTTCGACCTATTGGATTGCCTGGGAAAAGGACAGTTTTGGACATAGCCCAACTGGGATTCAAGGTCCAGGACTGGGCCATGTGTGCTCCCACCGGTCTAATTTCGAAGTCCTGTGAGAAATATTATATCTTTATCGGTCTATGATATGAATACCCTTCCTACCGCTCGTAGTACGAACTATGTTGGGTGCATTTTCCGTTTGTGCATCCTTGGTGTACCAATGATCGTCTTCAGGTTCTTGATAAGTAAATCTGACCTTGGAATGACGCTGCAGTTTGCAACAACTCAAGGGTTAGGCTTTCCTCCATTAAAACAGTTAGAGAATGCAATACCTTCTCTTCCTTTTCCCTCCCTCCAATCGGAAGTATACCTTGATCCCGTTGATGTACTCATCAACCGTCATCCTCCCTATCATTTGCCAGTTTGCTCGCTATCATCTCTTCCAATTTCTTCACTTTCATACCTAGATGAAGCTTCTTCAATCCCTTCCAACTGATATAACTGCGCTTTGAACTGTGGTCTACTAACATGCCTACTCTCTTCCTACTGACTTCATCTGCTAAAATTAGCTGCCCTTTCGACTTCTTCTTCATCTCCGCCTAGGCTTGGCGGCGAGTGACCAGTTCGTCGCTGATGCCTGTGAGGGTTCCCCCCAGAGAGACCCTAACACAAGCGGTCTCCTGAAAACTATCTGGATGAGGGCCTTTCTCAGCCTCTGCCAATGAGGCCTTCAGACAGGAGGTTTGCATCTCAGCACCCGCCTCTACCTGTCCATCAAAGTCCTACTGGCAATTCCCTTTTGGTGGTTGCCTAATCTCAAGGCAGAAGGGAATGATGTGGTTAGGGTCCCCACATTCGATGGAAGTCCCTCATTTCTCCTCGTACGCCATAGGGACGCTGGCATCTTCAGGGTCTTCCAGTGCTCTCGTTCCTCACACCCAGGATTGGGGGGGTATTTATACGGTCTCCTAAACCCATCAGCACTATTACTGGAGAGGGCATAGTTGCCCCCTCCTCCACCTTGGTAAGCAGGAGGTTATTGACCACCTTGTGGGGTGCCACAACCTCTACCACCGCTTGGAAGCCCCCATGACCTCCAAACCCCCGGCTTGCTCCTGGCCTCTTTTTCCTCCATGGCCTCTTCTTCCTCGACCTCCTCCTCGGCCTCCCCCACGATGGCTACAATGATCGCGTAGTCGCCTCCTTCAACTACTTGCCCTCCCTCATACTGCTCAAATTCTAAGTGCCCATAGTCTACCTGTTCAATAGGGATCTCCTCTGCGCCTCCTCCCTCCAAGGTGACTAATAGTTTATCTTTGACTTGAATGTTGCCAGAGACTATCTTCCCCTTCCACTTCATACGTCTCTATAATAGTGGAAGTTGGCCTGCGCTAAGAACCCAACCTGATCTAACGCATAGTAAAGCCAGCATAGTTGGAACCTTCCTTTTAGGTTTCTGCATACAACTGACTATAAGGGCACAAGTAAGGCCATTGCAAGTGTTTTACCATCTGATTGGAAGTTTGTCCATGATCTGGCACTTGCACCAAATCATCCACACTCTTCCGCTGCCTTTCTGAAATCAGACTTGACTCCAACTCACTTGCAACATGCATGCATGCATAAGCCGATGGCAACCAACTTCTTCAACTCAGAACTCAGCCATGAACTTGCGCTGGCGACATGCGCCCCCACAGAAGACTCAGAGATATGGCCTCTGGCCGGAAACTCAGTTCAAGTCAACTGTCACAACATGCGGCTATGGCCGCCAACACTGTCTGAAGTCCCCACTGTATACTATCTACACCATCAGCCTCCCTCACTCACGTACGCACGCACAAGGATCCACCCTGAATGTCCACACTACACACACACACACACACGCTGTACACTCCGTCAACGTCAGCAGCTGCGCGACTATGGCCACTGCCGTCTTCCTCCTCCCGGCTATGGTCGTCATCGTCTCCCTCAGCCCAGCTATGGCCGCCGTCGTCTCCTCAGCCCACTTCGACTACGGGCACCTGCAGACCTCCAGCACAAGTCACTCCAGCAGCGCTTCCACAAGGCTCACAGGCGAATGAATGAATGACTGGACGCTGCCCCTTTATTTATACTTGGCCCCAGCCCTGGGCCAAAACGCGTGGGCCTCAGAGGCCCAAAACGCGTGGGCCTGGGGAGCCCCAAACCGCGTGGGAAACCGTGTGGAACTCCCCCTCCCAAACCGTGTGGTACTCCCTGGTACTTGCTGACTGGGCAAGGTGGACTTCCACCTTGCTGACTCAGACACGACCAGTGGACCCTACGACTTTCTAGGACCAAGGAGTATAGACTTCCAGAAGACCCTAACTAAGCCTAACGGTAACGTACCTAACTGCTAACACAAAGACCTAGGGATCAAGACCAAGAGAAGGTCATGGCTATGGAGGACCTCGTGATGTGTTAGCAGTAAGAGGGAGATTCAGATATTGATTCTGACTCAGCCATTCATTGTTATTATTATTATTTCTTGCAGAATAAGCTTGGAAGAGATATGTCATTAGTCTTTTGCTGCTGTACATCTTCTTCTTCTGTGTTCCTTATTTCTTCCTCCACCCTTGTCTCTTTCTCCTTCCAAGTTCTTTCATTTCTTTTGCAATTGAACAGCATTGTCTTTCCTTGTATATTTGCACTTCTAAATAGCCAGGATCGTTACAAACAAGAAAAACAACAACAGCAACACAATTTTGCTCAGCAAAACAACACGAGCTTTGCTTGGGAAAACAAATTGGTGGGAGGAAAATTCAGGAACCAGGCAAGGGAGCACAAGGCAAAAAAAAAATACTAAGTTGTGAGTGAGGACATGAGTAACGATACACGAATCACAACTGCAAATGTGTTCAAACACTGCCATGGAGTGAATTAGAGGTACCTGCCCATCGAAGTAGACAACAGCTCCCTTCAAAGACCTTCCATCTGGGCTTGTCTTAGCAAGCTGAGGGAACTGGTCCAGTGCCTCCCGGGCCCAAAGGAAACGCGACATGAAGAGCAATTTTGGCCCCGCTACAAGATCATAGAGCTTTAGCCCTGCCCAGTAGTAC